TTCATTATCCATGGATTCTAGAAGTAAATTTCATCCTTGTGGTCACCTGTTTCCTCGTAGGTGAGGTCGAACGGTTGCATGTGGAAAGGTCAGGACGACAGTGGATGACATCTGAGGTCTCTCTCTAGGCCACAAGGCTGGCCAGTCCAGCATCCTGTTAGCCCAGATCTCTCATCTGCACCGGGTCCTCTCCTGGGCTAATGAGCGGGGCTAATCTTGGTGATCTTAAACAAGTGCTTAACTTGTGGGAAAAGAGCACACGGCTGCCTGAGCGCGGTGTTGGCACAGAGCTTCTCCCTGCACCCGGTAAAATGTCCAGAGTCACCACACCCACGAAGTAAGTGAAAGGGGACAGAAGCCAGTCTCCAAGTGTCGCTAAGGCTGAGGTGCTGCTGAGGATCCTGCGTCAGGTTTCCTGGTGCACTTCCAGTTCCGGCCAGAGCTACCCTCACTGTGCTGCTAAAGTGGTCTCACGTCAACCCGAGTTCACTGGGCGACTGAGGGCCTCAGTAACCCTGAGCCGCTTGGCGCTGCTCCCCCCACCCCCCCATATCCAAGGGTGAAACCACAGCACGGTACTAGCGGCTGCATTTGTTCTTCCATCTTTTCACGTAATCCGCACAACAGTCTCATCGACATGGTACCTCCAGAGGCGACATCCCAACTTCAGAGGATATCCAGGCTCTAGATCTGAAGGAACCAGGAATCTGACATTTTCCTTACTTGTTGGCACTTCAGGCTTTCCAGGAGTTAATTCTTAGCCTTCTATAGAAATGGTTTTCTCCTGAGACTACCAGAGTGCCCATACCTTAGGTCATTGCATCACCTTGTGGTCATGACAGGAAGCGCAACCTTCTCAGAGCCCACTCTACCTGAAACCAGAGGAAAGTCGGCTAGAAGGCACCCTCACAAAGCTGGCCTCTCACAGTTTCGCTGCTGTGGCTAAAGAGGATGCTCCGCAGGAAAAGCGCCTGCGCTCCTCTCTGCTCGCAGTTTCCTCTGTACTCTCAGTGTTTCCTTCCCACCTAGGCTCAGAGTGTTGGTCCAGGGACGGCTGACTATGCTGCCCACATGCCACTCTCCTCTGTGGGCAGCGAGGGATCATTAGATCCTCCAGCTCAATCTGCCTCAAGAGCATCGTCTTTATTATTTCTGCCAAGCTCACTGTCCTTATGTCAGAATACAAGCAACACAACACTGGGCAATACACACAACTCAAAATGAGCTGTTCCCGCAAACTGGGAATAAGGTTGATCAGAGATTTGGGGGAATGATTAAATGAAATGCTGCATTTAACTCTGACTAAACATATAAATACAGGGGTTATCAGAAAATACATCTCATTAGGACACAACACTTGTCTTGCCTATGCAATGCAACTCACACTTTGAACTTCTTTACATAAATGGATCCACAAGAGTTATCAGTGAGCACCTGCAGGAGGTCAGAAAGATCACGAGTGCAGGGAAGGCTTTCTTTCCCTGCTGGGTCTGTAGCTCACACAAGGTCTGTTAAAACAGTTCCATGTTCCATCACATGGGGCCACATTTAGCAACTTCACAACTGTTCTTCCAGGCACTACAGGCACACGACCAACTTTACGACTCAGCAGGTGAAGGGAGACAAAATGGCTTTCTTAGGTTCTCAGAGCACTGTCTAAGGCTGGAATGCGGCTAGTTTGACTTTGGATCACAGCACCTGGATTTACCATGCAGCACAGGGAGCAGGTACTTCCAAACTTTTGTAATGATAAGCTATAGTATGAAATGCCCCCCACAGCATCCGCTCACACGTAAGTAAGTACACAGCGGAAATGAAAACTGGAGAAGACAATGCTGACCTTACATCCAGCACATTCTCTCCTGTCCTGTTGGGTAAAGAGTGTTGTTCATCTCTCACTAGATAGACTCGCAGCCTACTCGTGAGTCAAAACTCCCATGCTGGAAGGATCTTGTCTAGAAATTTCTCAAACAACCTCACTAAATATGTGACCACTACAAAGACCGAGAGTTCAAATACATACTAAGAATCTAAAAGAATAGACAGGAAAATAAGATGAACTCCACCAAAAAGAACAATGTGCTCAGACAAATGAATTTCTCTTCAGTTCGGTAACTCTGGCACTTGGCAGTCAGCACCAAGGACTAGAGATGTCTGGACCCTCAGGCAGACAGGTGACTGAAGCACAGAGCCGCACTTGCTGGCGGTGCACAGGTATGCTAGGGAACGTTCCTTTTCCCACTGTCCCAGAGGTATTGCTGAGCTTGGCTATCAATGCACACATCTGGAGTTCTTGTAATGATTCTGCGTGAGAGGGATCTTGGCAGCAGGTAGGTCCAAACCACAGCAGGGGAGAACCCATGCAGACAGAGCTTAAGTCGTCAGAGAAATGAGATAAAGGGACTGAAGGGAAAGGAGAAGGCGGGGAGGGAGAAAGGGAGAGGAGGAGGAGGAGGAAGAGGAGAAGGCGGCAGTTTTGTCTTTTAACTGGGACAGGGTACTGTCTGCCACACGCACAAAACTGAGGCACTCTGCCAGGTTTCCATGGAGCAGGGCCAAGGTGCACCTTGAGGCCTAAGGGGTACATTTCTGGAGCCCACTCCCTGGATGCATGTGCAAATGCTGATCTATATTTTAAGGTCACCACTTGGTTGACAGAATAGTCTTTTTTTGCAGAAACCATTCTGCCTAGATATTTGGTCCAGAAAGAAAGGGTATGAGAGACTGTGACAGAAAAAGTGGCATTGCATGAAGTTAAATTAATTAATTAATTAATTAATTCTGTAGAGACCTTTTGAGACACGGCTCAAAATGTAAAAGACCCGAATGTTGCTTCCTGCAACAACATCTGAACTGCTTCTTTCTCTCAAACTAGTCTAGCCTTTTCGCGCATCAACCTCTGCCCACCCAGCTCTCAGCCTCTGAATGAAGCAGCTGTTCCCTGCCTCCAGGGTGTTCAGCATTTTGCCTGGTGGTGCTCAATGAATACCAGTTCACCCAGTAAACAAAAAGATGGATAGCAGGTGTCCTGTTTTCTTGCTATTTTTTACTACTCGAAATAATTTTGATGCCAAGGCAGTAAAGCATTAGTGACTATCGGTTCCCTCATCTCTAGGGAAGGCTGAGCCCGGAGGAAGAACACACCAAGAGAATAAACAGTTCTAAGGACCGGTTAGTCTACCACCTAGCATTCTGTGAAGGAAGCCTGTGCCCTTCAAATGAATGTTATTTATTTACATGTGCATGGGTGTGTGCATGCCATGGTGGAGGTCAGTGGACAAGCTGGTGTCAGTCCCTGCCTCCCATCATGTTTAGACACCAGGGTCTCTTGTTTACTGCAGAGACTCTGTCTACAGCAGAGCAGCTGGCCTGTGAGAGTCTGGCGAATCTCCCCACTTGCTGTCGACCATGGGGTTTATGGATTAGTTCTGCAGATCTGAACTCCAGTCCACACCTTTGCACAACAGCACTTTGCCCACTCTGTGATGAGGCTTCCTCCTCTTTTCCTTCGATGACTCAGCTGTTTGCTAATTTGCTGAAGTGTGTAGACCTGAGTCAGACCGACGCAGTCTCACCATAAGGTGAGAACAAAACTTTTGGTTCCACACCACATTATAAACGTATCTGTAAAAGGTGGTCATTAATGCACTCTGAAAGCACCGGAGCCCCTGTTCTATGAGCTTCTGTCACACACTGTCCACACCGATGTCAGGACTGCTCACCTAGATACCCTGGGAATGGCAGGCTAAACAAAAATTCAGCTCCAGACAGCTGTCAATCATGTTGGCTGCTGTCCATGGCTCCAAGCTCTAGCTCTCCTTGAGTCATCAAGTGAGTCCCAGGGTCTCGAGGAGCGCCCTTACATAGACCTGGATTTTCAGGACACTTTCTCCAGGAAGGACTCTCTTCTCTGAGTCACGGTAGCCCTATTCCTTGGGGCACACCCAAAGAGAACTATTGTACTTCCACCCCTGCACGTTCCGAGTGATGCTGAGGGAGGCAGCAAGGGTGCTGGACCAAGGCCTCCTCTTTGTTTTTCTCTCTGAATGCATTAAGGGAAGGACAGAGTTGCAATGGTCCTCAAGGCCTCGCTTTGTTTTGTTTATGAATCATCATTAAGAATGATAACACCCGTGTAAAATTTTAAAACCAGCATACAGAGTCACATAATTTTCAAACAATGCTGTAATGTTCTCTAGGTTTAGTAGCAGTGTTGCTGCAGCCTACGAACTAAAAATGCTTCTATACACAGAGGGTGAAGGGTCATGGAGAAGGCTCAGAACCCACATGGCAGAAAGGAAGAACCAACTCCCTCCAGCTGTGTCTAACCTCTACATGCACACTCAAACACACACAACATGAACAAATACGTGTTAAAAAATTCAAACCCTGAAATCGGTGCTAATCCAAGATTACTAAAGAGAATTTAGAGACTATGGATTTGGATGGCGGCTCTGGTGAACTCTGCAGGCAATTATTAAATTATTAAATATATCCCAGGACCTCTATATAGTCTATAAAGTACTGCAGGGAGGACCGAATGGATTATAGTCAGTTAACTACTGAGCCCAATACTTAGCACTTCTTTACATTTTTGTTTAGTAAACATAATTTTTTGAGATGGAAGCATACACATTCATATGTTAACTTTTACGTATCTAGTTGTGTAAAAATGAACAAACCCTTTTGGACTGACTGAAGCAGAAGAGAAAAAAATACTGATTATCTTCTAAGTGATTTAGGGACAGGAGGTCTTAGTCCAGTATTTCAGCTTCAAACAAAGCAATGCACACAGAGGATGGAACATGCACACTGACAGCACACGGTCATGGATATTCTAGTCATTTTTGTCTTGAGACAGGGAAAATGGCAATGTCAAAGACAACTAAAGCAGAACATGGCATGTGTGCTCAGTCTCAGGAGTGACTAAGCACCAGTACCTTGGGTGCTGAGTGACTAAGCACCAGTCCCCTGGGCACAGAACACGGCGCATAACCCACCTTTCTCTTCCTGGGAATGGGCTCGTCAAAGAGCAGGTTGCTGGCCTCGGCCTCATCGATGCCATCGTCAGGTGGAGCGGGGCTACGGAAGGGCTTGAAGCTGTCAGCGGACAATGGCGGCGAGGGTGTGGACGGGTTGGACTGGTCGCTGGGAGCACTCCAGCTCCAGTAGCCGCTGCTGCTGCTGCTGGAGGGTGCGCCCTCCTTCCAGGACCCGCTGAGGCCCTCTGTGAACACAGGGGACAGCGAGTAAGGGCCCACGCTGCATGCAGTAACCCACGGAGGCTGTAAGCAGTGAGCTCTCACCCATCCCAATCACGTGACAGTTTCTAAGCACTTGTTTTAGCAACGATGCAACATGGCTGTCTGGCTCTCTGGTATGTGTGTTTTAACGTGCAGTACCCTTTCCTCGGGATTGGTGGAGATTAAACAAAAACAAGAAAATAATAGTTATTTCTTGTTCTTGTGGGGCCTCTGGGTTTGCTGGCTGCAAGGCTTCTGCATGTGGTATCCTACCTACTAGCCACCAAGTTGCCCCCTCTGGTTCCAATTCCCCCTTTTTTAAAAAAAGACATTACTCATTGACTATGGTTCTTGGGATGTATGTCTAAGAAGTCAGATTAAGACCTCAGACTATCGGAAATGGCGCTTTCCAGACCAGTGCTGAGCAAACAAGTAACAGCGTCTTCCACTCTGACTGCTGTTAGGCCCTTAACCTTAATTTTCAACGTTAGTGTGTAAAATAGTGGCCTTTATAATGGCATTTCCACACACCTGCGTCCTACACCTCATTCCACGCTCCTCCTTCCCTCTGGGCCCTCTTACTAGTCCCTTCCTTCACACCTATTTGCTCCCCAACTTCTGTGTTCACACTGTGCATCCCAATTCCCTCTACTTAATGGAGCTCACCTGCAGTTTCATTCAAACAGTTACGCCTGTCACTCAGAGCAGAGCATCCCCACTTGACAGTGGCACAGGAAGTTCATCTACCTGCTGCTCTCTAACTGGTAAGTGACCCTGGGCAGCCGAAGCCAGGGCCTTGTTTGCTGGAGGCCGTTGGTCCTCCAGAGCATCCTCCATCTGCATTTGTTGGCAGCACCACTGACTGAACTGTGCTCAGCTGAACTGTAGGAGTCTGATGCACAGATCTCTTCCTATGCGCCAGAGGAGGGGACCTGTAACCACTGTAGATTAATGTTATCTTTCAAGATGTCCAAGCTTGATTAGCACTTATGTAAATTCTACTTTCTTTCTAGATAATCCTCTTCCATATTTATGTTCATTGTGAATATATTCAAACTCTACTTGTGAGGGAAGAGGAAATCCCAAAATGCTTCATTAAAATCCTATTAATGTCTGTGTAATTACTAATGAAGCAAAAATGAGTAGCAGATTAGTATTTGTAGAGAAATCCCTACCCTTACCTAGTTACAGAATTCCAGAAGTTACTCAGCTACACCAAGCAAAAAGTTTAATAAAAGTCGTTAAGTTTGAATTGAAGTAGAAGTTGCCCACTTTATGAGGGTAAGACTCTGGCAGAATTACATGGTCTTTTTTGCATGCTTGCACCTGCTGGCATCACAGCGCCAGCTTGGTATTTCCTCCCTGATGGAGAGAGATGGATGCACACAGCAGACTGCACTACTCTCCAATGACAAGACCGCCTACACAGCGGTCCTGCTGGGAGCATCCTTACATCCTCCATAGAGGCCTGCACAACAAACCCAGGTGCTGGGTGTGTGGTCGCAGGACAAGGAGGAAGGAATTGCTTTTGAGAACTAGCTATTGTCACGGTATGTTACTTCATTTCACGTGAACATCAGCGGTGTATTTGCCTACCAGTCTGGGAATACTTCCTTCGCTCCTTAGCCAGGAAGACTAGCTAACACAGTTTCCTGGGCTGCAGATTTCCTTATCTTAAGCGAGTATTAGTCAAACATGCAGATGGGCCCAGTTGGGCTCTTAGCTCTTCGCAGAGCTACCACTTAACAGGAAAACTCTCCTCAGTCACAGAAAATGATCACAACAGGTACCCCAAACTCACTGATAGACCTGAATTCTGGAGAATGGCTTTCATCCTCTTAAAAACTAATGGATTTATTATTATAAATTGCTTTCCTTACTTAAAAATTTGCTTCCTTTTGCAAATCAAATGAGAGATATCAAATTCAGTAGCTGAATAGTTTTTTTTAAAAAAATATTTTATTTATTTTGAGGCAAGGTCTCTCTATGTGGGCCAGGGTGGCCTCATTAATTCACAGAGATCCATCTGCTTTTGCCTTTTCAGTGCTGAGATTAAAGGCATTTGCCATCACGCCTAGCTAAGTTGTTATTTTTTAAAAGCCATAAACGAACACTGACATACTCTATTGCTGTGCTAAGGAAGTGCATATTGATGTATGAAAAGGTTTATTTTAATTTTAACCTTTAAAAACAAAGGAACAGTAGAAATGTTCTCGAAAAAAGAATCATATAGTAAAAATAATGATTAGTTTAAGAATATCCTTTTCCCTGTAAGAATTCAAAGTCATTCCTAGAATATTTTGGGCCATCCCAGTTTTCCTCCTCCAGCAATGCTACCTGGCTGAGAAAGGCAACTCTGGGTGTTCATTTGCCAAGAGGCCCCCAAAAGGCCAGACCACTAACCAGGAACGGTCACGGCACCTCAGTGCATGTGCTTCTGCAGTGTCTAAGTTCATCTACATATACGTACACACATACAAACATGTATGCAGCCTGATTTCCTAACCCTAACTTCCACTGTCTGGATGGATCACTTTAGCAGCCTGCTCAAGGCTCAGAAGACAGACTTCCAGCCAGGCATACAGGACCTGCCTCAATGAAACTCCTATTGTCCTCCGCCCAACTTTGCCTCCCACTGTCTGCTTTCCCAGTTTATCTCAGGGATTAAATGAAGCAGTTTCACCCCACGATTAGGAAGGCAGATCTGGAATCAGGAAGACGGGAACTCCACACATACCTTGGTTTACCTATCTGTAAAGCAGTGATAATAACAGCATCTCATACGCTTGCTGGTGGAAATACGAGACAAAGCAAGCAGAATACTCTGCAGATAATTAAGCCAGTGCTTAATTAGTATGCTATGAATGAGGCCATGACTGCGTCTTCTTTTCCGAAAGAGACTGTGTACTCTCTCTGAGCATGGACACTCTTTATACTCTACTGATACATTCAAATCACCTAGGTCGTACCTAGTAGATACTGAATTCGAGACTGGACTAAATAATTCTCTTTGGTTATGAAGTGTGGGATAATGCTTTTACAAACTGCTGGATCTTCAGTGAGTGCGCTGATCCAACTATCTCCCAATCAGAAAGAAATTATGTGAGGAAAACAAGTTCATTAGATGGCTCTCCCTTTGCCCAGGGAAAAGGAACATAACTACTCCACAAATGTGTCCTTGGAAGGCAGCAAACATGTGACAGAACTCAGAAAATGTGAGCTGCCCAGGTGAGGACCTGAGAATGCTGGGGTCTTAGGAGGATGAGGTCGGTGGTCCAGGGTCTCCATTTCCCCCATTTCACCTGATTTGAAATAAGGGCCCCAGCAGAGACCTTGCTCTTTCCCAGAGCACATACCCTAGGCTTACCATTGGGCCGCACGGGAGGACTTCGGACCAAAGGGCTAGTTGACAAGCTGGTTAGTACCATGGCTGCGGTCACCTTGTCCATGTCCAGTTCCTCTGAAGATTTTCTGTAAAACAGGAAGAAGTGCTGACTGTGTGTGCTCACTCTACCCACGGTCAACCACATTTACTTTCGAACGTATCCTCCGGAAAATCCAGCGTTTTCTAAGTAAGAGGTCAAGCGGTCCAATCAAAGCCAAATACACAGGAAGAAGGGGCCTTATTCATCGTTTGTCCAGCAACTATTTATTGATGTGCAGATGAGCCAGGCAGACGCTGCTGCGGGCACCAATACACAATGAATAACAGACAAACAAACCAACAGGAATAAGAGAATCTCTGACAGTGGCAAGCGCTATGAAGGGTACTAGTGTCGACATAACAGTGCCTGAGCATCTGAGGAGTGACTTCTGGGTGATGGGAAGCTGAGGAGGCTCAGTTCTGGGAGTGGAGAGACATGCATCTCTATAGCAGCCTGAGGTACACCAGACGAGTTCTCCAAGGAGAGAGTGCCCACGGAATGTTCCTCTTTATTCTACGTGGAGACGAGTCCCTGAGCCCATGACATCATACGGTTAGTATCTGTGAAACAACGGCTGAGCAGATCATGTAGAGCAGAGGTCTGGAAGCGCAGAGGAAAGAGACATGCCTGGGGTCAGTGGCTGCTGACTCTGTGGGACTGGTGGGGAGAGACCAGAATGGTGCTATCTGGATTGGATGTTTCCTAGAGCCTCCACTGAGATGACAGCAACTAGGCGAGAAACATCCAAGGTGTTTAAACCCGAGAGTCCCCCCCCCCTCTCCCTCTCCCTCTCCCTCTCTCTCTCTCTCTCTCTCTCTCTCTCTCTCTCTCTCTCTCTCTCTCTCTCTCTGTGCATGTGGAGGCTCCGGGCTGAGTCTGGGATCTTCCTGCACTGCTCTCTTCTTTTCCACTGAGGCAGCAGTGCTAGCCAGTGCTTGAGAGCTTCCCACCTACACCTTCTGGGGCCAGAATCACGGGTGAGCACCTGGCATTCGGTTGGATTTCTGAGCATCTGAACTCCACTGTTTTCACCACTGAGCAGCCTCCTCAGCCTTCAATCTTTGTTTCTCATTCTGTTATCTGCCTTCCTCGAGGAAGAACAGGGAATGGGAACGGCTACGGCAATCACTGAGGCAGACAAAAAGGCTGCTCTGGTTTAATTCTGGCCAGCTAAGCACAGATCTGCAAGGCAGCCATCATGGTGGCTAGAGTCAGCCTCTGTGAGCTTGTTTCCACGGAGAAGCTACAACCGAGAGGCAAGCATGTATGTAGTGCATGGACACAAAGTAAACGACCCCACCTCCTGAAGACCGGCATTTCCAGTTAGGGAGCAGTCTAAGAGGCCCAGCAGAGGACTACTGAGTCACACTTGCAGGAGGACTGTCACTCCGACAGATGCGGCTTCCCTTCAGAGGTGTGCTGCAGGATTTGCGAGAGCAGTGAACTCTAGACCTCAGGACCTCACGGCACTGCTTCACAGCGGATGGAAAAGAAATTCTTCCACTGAGAAAAGCCAAACAGTTCTTTACTGGTGTGTGTGTGTGTGTGTGTGTGTGAGAGAGAGAGAGAGAGAGAGAGAGAGAGAGAGACAGAGAGAGAGACAGAGAGAGAGACAGAGAGAGAGACAGAGAGAGAGAGACAGAGAGAGAGAGACAGAGAGAGAGAGACAGAGAGAGAGAGACAGAGAGCGCACACGCACACGCACACACACAAGGGGAACTGCCTGAGATGGTGATCTCATCATCTTGATGGCATTTAGAATCACCATAGCAACAAACCTCTGGGCCTGTCTATGCAGAACTTACTAGATTGGGTGACCTGCGGTAGAAGACCTGCCTTAGTCATGGGCTGCGGCATTCTATGGCTTGGAGGCTATACTCAATCAAAGGGAGAATGCTAGCTTAGCATAGCCATTTATCACATTTATCACTGTCTGCTTCTGACTTCAGAAACAAGATGGGCTGCCCTCGGCTTCCCGGCAGTGATGGGTGGTTCTTTCAAACTGTGAGCCAAAACAAGCCTTCCCTTACTGTCAGGTATTTTGCCATAGCAACAAGACAGGCACATAATACATTGCTCAATTAATTTCACCATGAAGTTACCAAAAACCAGTTTGACTTTCTGATACCCAAGCCAGTACTAAATTATTCCAAGTTTATTGTTTCAATCCAAGGCATTGGAGGATGGCAACCTTTGACATTTTCCCATGTAATTCTTCTCAAAATCTCTATGTGCTCACACCCCATCCTGTGCGATCAAAAGGTGAGTTATTTGTTTCGGTGACTGGCAAGTAGAAACACCTGTATAAGCAAGCGGGAGGAGGGTAACGAAACTGCTCCCGTGGACGCTGGCGAGACAAAGGCCTATCCTGGGAAGCAGGAATCTCTGTGCACACACTCAGCCGCCAGCTCCAACGGAAGGCCATGGAGATCTCAAGCTCGCTCCAGGTGGGAAGCTCGCTCCATGCTGGCTAGTCTTCAGACACTCGTGCTACATACTGACCGGCCAGGCAGGCGTACCCAGAAGTATGTACTGGAAAGTCTCAGGGAACAACCAACCCTTCCTGTTGGAACTGGATCCTCCCTGCAGGAAGGCACTGACAGCTGGTGCTGTGAACCTGGCTAAAAGCCTGTGGCGGGGTGGGCAAGTGGCAGCTGCTGCTTCTGAGTGACCGCTGATGTCCACAGCTGAGTGCGCCTGCAGCTTTGCTCAGAACAGCCTTTCTGGGTGGACAGCAGGAAGCGCAGAGACCTAACCCGTGCAGGGCTGGAGATAACTGCCTAGTCACGAACGGGACATCTCTGTCACTCCCTCCCAGGCTCAGTGGAATGCTGAAGTCAAAGGCAGCTGTGAGTACCCGCATTAGACCTGCTTAAATGATGGAAGGGGCAGGGCTAACGAGGTCCACCCCTCCCTAAGGATGGTTGCTGGAGGAAGCAGAGACTTTCTTCCCACTGTTAAGCCACTTGGTGAGGTATACAGTCCTGTAAATAACCTCTCACACCCCTAGACACCCTCAACGATTGGCTCACCTAAACAAACACGCAAGTCAAATGGAAATTTAGGAAAGGACAAAAAAAAAAGATATTAAAGTAGAAAAAAGAAGAAGGGATAAGGACAGGGAGGTAAAGAAGGTAACACATATAAACATGATCAAAATACATTATATAATGTATGAAATACCACAATGAAACTGTTTCCATACAACTAATAAATGCTAACAAAACATTAATAAACAAAAACAAAAAGCTGGCTTGTGTGATTTTAAAATGAGGAACAGTAACAACACATCACTGTACATTTAATAATAAGCTGTATATTTATTTTATATTGACAAAACTACTAGTACATTTCAAAGTAATTACTGTCATAAAACAGATTTCCAAAGAAGAGTAAGAAAAGAATACAAATTAGTGTAAGCAAATATTTTTAATGTTTGTTTAGTTTTTGCTTTTTTTTTCTTGGTGAGCAGCATTTCACTATGTTCTCCTTGTCTGCTTGAAACTTATTGTGTGGACGGGCTAGCTTTGACTGCTGCAGCAATCCTCCTGCCTCTGCCGCACCCAGCTAACCAGAGTGTTCACTTATCTGGATTACCTTTAGGTTTTCCATCAGTCCTGGAGGTCACCGCCAACAAAACCAAAGGAAGGTATGGCTTGTGATCACTTCATCCAGATCTCTTAAGAATTTGAATCAAGTTATCAGACTACAGCCTCGTGCTGAGTGGTGCTTTTGTTTTTATCTTTGTTAATTTGGTACAGTACTATCTAATTACTGATTAATTAGTGCTGCAGACTCGAATCCTTATAATTAACACAAAGAGATGATACATGAAGTTGACTCTGCTCCACTGGAGGAAACCGCTGTTAGGTCTGCTGGTAGATTCGGAGCGGCTGAGGGGTGCCAGGAACCATAATGGAAGTTCTCCCTTAGTGTGATACTGAATTTACTATTGCAAACCACACCAATCCCTCATTTACTAAAGGCAGAGACCTAACTAAAAATTAATCTCTCTGCCACACTTGAGTTTTATGGAAGTGAGTGATACTTAGAATTATGGTTAAGGGGACAGGAATCTTCACTGTCATTTTATGTGTTATTCAGACCTGATGAACAGGACAAGTCATCAGGTGACTTTGAGTTGCTCTGTCTCACCACCTGCAGGGCCCTGGGTAAATCCTTAAGCTGAGTCTCTAAATGGTTTCTTTATCCAGACAAGGCCTCTGAGAGGACAAATGAGAAAGCAGACATGAGCACCAGCGTGAGTCTCAGCGTTCCTGCCCAAGTCCAAGCTCCCCAGCGGGTACTGACATTCACATCCGTGAATATATCCATGGCGTGTCCCCAGGAAGGCATTCTCTTGCTCCTTACTCAAACCCAACAACAGAAGTTGTTGTCTTTCTCCTGCCCTTCCCCTTCTACGTTCCCCTTAGTGGGTGTGTGCACATGCGCATATGTGCGCACGCATGCTAATGCACGACGTATTTCATGAATGGCAAAACTGCTCCCAGCTCCTCTGTAAGAGGCTTGTGGAGGTGAGCTGTGGGCTCCTGGCTAGGACAAGTTGGTGCTGTGACAAAGACAGACAGCCATGTGTAGCAAGCCCAGGCAGACTCTGCAGAAAGAGTCCATGCTATTGATACTCTAGGAGTGCTGTGTGCTGGAGGCTGCACCAGATGAGAGTTTACTGTCTCCAGGTAAAACAGCCGCCCGCCCTCTGAGTTCTAGTGGAGAACCAGACTTTAATCTGCCTCTCTCCCTCCCTCCTCTTCCCTTTCTCCCCACTGCCCCTACTTTCTGGCAGTAGGTACACACCAGGAGGAAGATCATGTGAGATCATGTGAGCCTGGGTGCTACAGTCTCAGGAAGGACGGGTTTCTGGGTGGCTGCTGAGGGGGACAGACTGAGACTGTGCAACCTGGAATGGCTTCTGCTTTCTGGGAGGGTTATCGTCCTATTTTCAAGACTCTAAGAGGCACCAGAGTCATAATGGATGTAGTGGGGACAGGCTGGGAAAGGTTCATGAGCAGTCAGATTTGTCTTTCA